TTCAAGAAAGACATCCGGAAATTCTCGAACTATAGGAATTACATCAACGGTAAGGGCCTCTTTTTGTGTATCAATCACATAACAAATATAACTACCACAACCTTTTCTTAAAAGTCGTTGGGCCGCCATGGAGTATATAATACAGGAAGGGTTAGAAACTTCAGCCCCATCAAAGACAAGTTCGGGGTTGGTCTGGTAACTTGAGAAAGACCTTTTTGGCTTTACAGTCAATAGAGGTGTGGTTGGCAGTCAGCCAATCCATACCTAAGATTACATCAAAGTTTCTAATGCGGAGGGGAATCATGTCTACATATAAGGTTTTGCCTTTTAGGAATATAGCACAGGATTTGTACACATCAGTACTACAGGCAGACTTACCAGAAGGAAAAGACACAGACAAGGTATATCCTAATGGTTCGGGTGTTGATGTTAACTTGGCAACAAAGTGTGATGCAACAAAAGAATGAGTTGACCTAGAGTCAATAAGGACATGAGCTAAAAGACCGCAGATAGAAAGTGTACCTGACACAACATTTTTGGTAACTTCCGGTTTTCCAGGTACCAAGGCGAAAGCCCGACCTTGGCAGTTTTGATCCTTCTTTTCTCATCCTAGTCCCGCGGTTCTCCTGACTAGGCCAGAGGGGCTGGCTGTAGGGTTAACTGTCTTTGGACAATCCCTTAGCAAGTGGCCAAACTGTCCGCATCTAAAACATGCTCTCGTGTCCCGATGGCATTGTCCCCAATGAGCCCTCCCATAAATGGGGCAAGTTGGAATAGTGCCACCTCGAGGGTTGGTCAGACCTTGGTGGCCTGAGCTGGTTGTGCCTATGCTCACCTTTTTATGAGGTACAACACCGGGTCTTCTGTTATCCCTTTCCTAGAATCGTTTCTTGTAGCTTGGTTCTCCGGAACGTGAGGCTTTAATTCCCTTTTCTGCCATGTACGCCTGGTCCACCACTTCTGCATAGGTTGGCAATTTCAAGACTTCAAGCTTGTCTTTAATTCCAGTATCCAATCCTGCTTCAAATTTTCTTGCTTTTCGAGTTTCGGTGGGGATGACATATGTTGCAAACCGAGCAAGTTGTGTGAACTTGCTCTCATATTCGGCCACCGTCATGGTTCCTTGCTTAAGATGTATGAATTCAAATGCCTTCTGTTCCCGCAATGAATCTGGAAAGTATTTTTCGTAGAATACTTCCAAGAATCTCGCCCAAGTCGTAATTTCTTTTTTGGCTAGAATGAAAAGCCATCATTCCTGTGCATTGTTTTTGAAAGTGAAAGTGGCGAAAGTTACCTTTTGTCTCTCGGTGCAGGGTAGGGCACAAAAAATCTTTTCCATGTCTTTAACCCAAGTGTCTGCTACCATTGGGTCTGGGCCACCGGTAAATGTGGTGGGTTTCAGATCTTGGAACTGTTTTATGGTAACTGGCCCTTCTCGCCGTTCTAGCGTCCCATTGTTGATGCTAGTTTGCAAGGCTTGCAAAAAGCTAGTAACCGCTATTTCCATTACTCTTTCCATCGATTCAGTGCCACTAACTGATGACTTACTTCTATTACCATTATTAGCCATTCTACAAGTAATAAATGAGGCATTATATTCTCAACGCAGCATATATATATATATATATATATATATGTATATATGTAGCACAATTTATATTTATATGAACTGCCAACATTACACATTTTTTTTTTCTACAATTCATATTACATTAGTCAGAATATGTTAGTGTCCCATCCCTGCGGTAAACAAAAACAAAAGTCAACAAAAAGGGATTAGAACACCTCAAGATCAGCATACAAAAGATTTCCTACTACCCAGATCTAGAGTGGTGGGTCAGATGGGCCGGAAAACCAGGGAAAATAGTGCTACATAAAAAGCTCAAACTCCCATCCCAACTGGACTACACCAAAACACATCCATGCTACCTGGACTGTGAAAATAGGGATAGACCGTATATGACCCACAAATACTCGGTCGACAATCCAAACAGGTGTCTCAACATATGATAGATCATTTTCGAAGTCAACATTTGGAATATTAATGATCTCCAGTGGGTTAGGGCCTGTGGTGACAATATAATCCTCGGGGTACACGTTCCCCCTCCTGGCTGCAAACTCTGGGGGTAGAGGGCCTATAATATAATGCGGGCGGTCGTGACCCGGGGTGACGCCAAGGACGCGAGATGGTCTGAGAAAACGTCTGCGTGTATGGACAAGGCTGTGCTTCCATAGTAAGTGTGGGACGTCGGTAGGGTCAACCTAGATATAAATGAAGGTCAACCTGGATATAAATAGGCCGACCCATTAACCGGCCAAGGCCTGGGTGCAATTCCCTGACTATTTCCTCAGAATCTCCCTAACCCTCAGGTGAGGCGGGGGCAGGGTGTTTAGCTAAGATTTCATCTAAATTGATGGCCTGGAGGTCATTCCAAAAAACATCATCAAGGTAAATCTCTGACATCCCTACAACACCAGAATAAACGTGAGATTTACACAGAAAGACTAACGGTGCAGGTAAATATCTATTATTATTTTATTTTATTTTATTTTTATTTTACTATATTTTCTTAGCTATATAGTTTTATAAAAACTTTTTTTTTTTTAACTGTTGCTCTGATACCACTTTTGTCACGACCCAACCCAAGGGGCTTAGGGTTGGAATCGCAACTTACTAACTTGTTCTTATTTGTAGCAAATTAAGATGCGCAAGTGGAAATAAAAATAATTAAACATAAATTTTACTATTTTTACTATTTAAGAAAGAGGAAATACATTTCTAGGGCTTTCGTTATTTTATTATTCAGTGACCAACCCCGAATAGAAACAAAAGGGAGCAAAAAAAAAAAAGAAAAAGAAAGATAAAATAGTGATTCAACATCAGTCCATGTGCAGGTTCCATTTTGTGGGGTTATGAGTTTCCTTTGCATCTTGTCACCTGAAAGGGTAACAGCTATAAACACACAGCAGAGTGAGAAATATTATGCCAAGAGTATAGGAAATACAAAATAACCATGGATAATTAGGTAGGCTAAAATATTTGCATAATTTAATTTAAAAATGATAGTTTATTTAAAGTGGCAGAATACAGAAATCATGTAAATAAATAATCATAACCACGGTATAAAACAGAAACAGAACAGAGGTTACAGAAGTGACAGTTAGAACAGAGGTCAATGGATCCATGACAAACAGAGGACCACAAAGTGGTCAAACAGAGGCCAGTGGTTATTTAAGTCCCCCAAGGCGTGGGACTCCCGTGGTGATACTTACAAAACATAATTGTTTATAAGGTTATAGTCAAATATATACTAAAATTTAAACAAACATATCCATGAGTTTCCTTTTAAGTGAATAGGATTTAGAAAGTAACCAACGTAACTGAAATATTTATAATCATAACTTTTATTTATATAACTTAATAAATATAACTTGTATAAAATAAGCTACGGTAACTCAAAACATTCGTAAAACATATAATGATAAAGCAAGGGATAATCTAACTCACCTTAATTACAACCCTTAGCCTTACTTTACTATCAGAACTTCCCTACTATAGATTCCTTACACTCACTTACGTACCTCTCTCTCGAGCCGAGGCAACTTTGGTGATGACGGACACGTGGCCTTTTGGCACCGAGTTAGGGTTTCCTAAATTTCCCAAAATAAAATATTTAGGTGGCGACTCTATATCTGGCAAAGCAGTCCATGTTTGGCACTTCTTTCAAAAATCAGTTTTCCTAAAACGATTTACCGGATTTGGACTCTTTGGTTCAGATTTAGAACCGTGACTACACAAAGTCGAGTCCGAGCTGTAGCGAGGTCCCCCGCGGGCTTGTTACACATTGCTGGGCCAAAATTTTCTCTTTTTTTTTTTTTTTTTTTTTTTTTTCCTTTTCCTTTTATTCATTTATTTATTTGTTTTGGTGTTAAGTATTTCAATGTTCCTAATATAAATTAAATTATATCTTATCATTTAGCATCGTAAAATTAACTATTTTATTTTATTTTACTTTACTTTACAAATTACTATTATTATTCCATATTATTATTTATTTACTATTTTTAACTTTAATTTAATCCAACTAGTACTAGAATTTCATATTTCTGTTAATTTGGCCCTAAATAAAAATCCCTAATTAATCCCATATAACCCAGTGCTAAATTAGATTCTATATTTATTATTAATTATTTAATAATATATATCACATACACCCATAATTATATAACTATAAATATTTATGTGGTATTTAATTAAACGTTCAGGGTGTCACAATCTCTGTCTGTCTCTGTCCTCAATCTTTGGTTGCATGTCTGTGTCTCGCTCTCCGTCTCTGTCTCTATCTCTGTCTCACACGTACTCTAGATCGGTAGTTTATGAGCTAAACTTTTTCCCCCAGCTCTCAAAGTAAGAAATTTGTAATAATAGTTAAACAAAAAAAATCAGTTCCATTTAAAATCAATTTATACACTTATTTCATTAAACAAAAAAAATCAGTTCATATAAGAAATTAGTTCCATATAAAAAAATCAGTTCCATATAAAATCAGTTCTTACACTTGTTTCATTAAACAAAAAAAATCAGTCCATATAATAAATTAGTAATAATAGTTAAACAAAAAAAATCAGTTCATATAAAATCAGTTCCCCCAACCCCAAGTGACTCAATTTGGACATTTGTTTCATTAACAAATGAGTTCATAAACTTTGTTCATACACTATCCCCTGATATTTGTTCATACACTAATATTTGTTCACTGATATTTGTTTATACACTTTCTTCACTACATAAAAAATCAGTTTCATTAACTATCCCCTAATATTTGTTCATACACTTTGGGGATAGTCACATAATATTTGTTCAAATTAGTTCCATTGTTCAACAATGGTTCAATTTAGGCATTGTGTTAGGGAACTGATTCATTGTGTTTGTTTGGGCATTGTATTATATAATCATTCTGAAATCATTTAATTGTTATTTCATTAAGCAAAGTGAAAAAATGGAGGTTGATTCAAATGTTGGTGACAATCCTTTAGTAAATAAGGGTGAAGAAGTTGAAGAACCGAATAAGGGTATGTATTTTAGCCCAAGGGAAGAAGTGTACACATTTTATGCCAAATATGCTAAGCATGTTGGATTTTCTATATCTCTGTCACGACCCCAAACCCGGCCCTATGGGTTTAGCACTGTAACCGGCCAGTAATCCGAGATTACCGAAGGCCTGCTTAACAGTAATACAGTAAAACAGAGTACAGGGCCTGGCGGAAGCCAATACAGTAATTAAACAATGTCCAATGAGCTGTGACAGTCTGTATGCCAAAAAGATTTTTCATGCATTTACATAAACACAGTACAGTCTATACAATTTTACAGTCACACAGTACAGGGACCTAATCCCTTGATAACAGTACAGTTTGCAACTGACAGTCTATACAGTAATCCAAACAGTATGGAGACAGAACGGGAGGGAAAACAAACAAACATCCCCAAATCGCCATAGCATGGCAAACTCAGAACCTCGGCAGTGAGGCACAAGGCCTGGCTTTGACAAAACGGAGTCCTAACCCACGCTCCTAGCCCGATCTGTGCTGAGCACCTACATATATATATATAAACAGTGAGCTAAAGCCCAGTGAATAACATAAGCGTTAAGGGGTTTAGAATGAATGTGTCCTTACAGTATTTGAAAATCGTTCAATTCAAGCAGTATTTTCAGTGTTCAGTACAGCAACAGTCATATGTGGTACAATTCCATAGCATAACAGTAACAGCTAGGTCCTTAAAAGACCGAACAGTAAATGATGCCCATCAAGTAGTAAACAGTAGTGGTTCCACGAGGGAACCGACAGAGATCTCTGTAACAGTAACAGTAACAGTAAAACAGCTAAGGTACTAAGGGATGCCACAGTACAGTTCAAAAATAAAGGACATACATTCATTCAGGAATACACCAAGTTCAGTAAAACAGTTCAGTTCAGTATTCAAGATATCAGTTGAACTATCTTTAACAATTGTTACTACTTCAGAGAGAGCTACGGTATGCTAGAGCCGGTCTCCCCAGTCGCCAACTACACAGTTCACAGGTTGAACACACACTAAGCACCAGTTGGGAAATAATCAATAATTTAATCCCTAATTTGCCTTGGTGTGTTCTACATACGATATCCCTTCATCAAGAATGTCTTAAACTAGGCCTAAGAATGCTAGGATGGGATGAGGATGCAAAAATACACTTAGAAAACATTTTTGCAAACTTTTGCTTGAAAATAGGAGGCCTCGCTCGAGCGAGATTTTCTTCGTCGAGCCGGAAAGTCCCAAAATCAAAGGCTCCAGCTCGAGCGAAGGAATCCTTCCGCTCGAGCGGTCTGTCGAAACAGTAAAATACTGGATGCTGTGATTTACGCCGCGATGGTCGTCGATGGGTCGCTCACGGAGCCCTGGACAAAAAGGTGCTCGCTCGAGCGGGGAATCTTCGCTCGAGCGAGGAACCAAATCTGGAATTTCCAAATCTGCTCCCAAGCTCAAACCAAGCATTCTACCACTCCAACCTCGACCTCTTGGGCCCAAATTCTGGAAAACATAACTAAATTCAATGTATAACAAGTTTCAAAGCTCAATTTATGAATTCTAGCCCCAAAGGTGAGTCAATTAAAACCATATTCAAACCCATTTTCCAAGAATAATCCTCAAACATGACATGCATGATCTTAAATCATTTTCAAAGCTTTAATGCTGTTTCAAAAGAGCTCAAGCCTTCAAAAACAAGATGAACTCATGGAGTATGACCAAAAGATGGACATGCATGTGAGGAAACATGGACTTACAACCTCAAAACTTCAATATATGTACATGCATGCAACAATTAAGCTTCAATTCAATCAACAATGAACCAATTCATGACTTAGTTCTACAATGAAGCATGAATCATGCAAGAACTAGCTCAATGACATCATTAAGATGATGAATGATCTACCTTAGGTGTAGGATTAGAAGTGAGGAAGCTCAAATTAGTAATCAACCTTCAATTCCTTCAATTTCCAAGCAAAACCAAGCCAAAAGAGGTGAAATCTAACTCTCTCCCTTAACTCTCTCCCTCTAGTCGGCAAAAGCAAGAAATGAGCTGAGCAAAATGTTTGATTCAAGCATACCAAGGCTCTAACATGTTATAATAAGGGCCCACTAACAATGGCAAAAGTGTAATTACGTCAAACTCTTTAATTAGCTTAATTTAATCTAATTTAATCATACCCAATCAGTTTTCAGGTAAATACACCATAAAATCACATTAATTACGAGGGTCATGGAACATCAATCGGTTTCTAATTCGGCCGCCGATAAGGCCTTCAATTAGCAGTTTAAACATATAAGCATGAACAGATAATCATACAGTCAAACAAATAGAATGCAATTTAACTAACATATACTCAATCCATTCGGTTTCCAATTTCAGTCAGTCAGTTCAGTACTTTAATCAGTTCAATTATCAGTCATAATCAATTCAGTTTAACGATAATCGATGGTTATCGGTAATCAGTCAGTCATAAGTCGGTAAACAGTATGAGGGTTGTTACAATCTCATAGAGCACAACATTTTGGAGATGATGGGCAATTAAAAAACTTTGCAATTGAATGTTCTTGAGCGGGGGAGAGAAAAAAGAAATCAGAAGTCAACCCTCTTAAGCCATCTTTGTTCACAAAAATTGGTTGCAAAGCAAGGGTACGAGGTAGTGTACAAAAGAATGGGAGATATAAACTAACCACAGTTAACCTTGAGCATAATCATGATTTGATTCCCACCGACTCACGTCATTTTGTAATAAATAAGAAAATTCTTGCTCCTGTGAAGAGAACATTAGAAATTAATGATCAAGCAGGGATTGGGGTGTCTAGGAACTTTCATTCAATGGTTGTTGAAGCGGGAGGATACGAGTCATTGACATTTGATGAGCGAGATGCAATGAATTACATTGAGAGAGCTAGACGATTGAGGCTTGGGGAAGGTGATGCCGAATCAATTCAAAGTTATTTTATGAGGATGCAAGCACATAGTGAGAGATTCTTTTATATGATTGATGTTGATGAGGAGTTTCACATTAGAAACTTGTTTTGGGCTAAAGCAAGGAGTCAGACGACTTATGAAGCATTTGGAGATGTCGTTTCATTTGACACAACTTATCTGACAAACAAATATAACATGCCATTTGCTCCATTTGTTGGAGTTAATCACCATGGACAGTCTATTTTGCTTGGTTGTGGATTATTATCTAGTGAAGATACTAACACATTTGTTTGGCTATTCAAGTCGTGGTTAAGTTGCATGTCAAATCATCCTCCAAAAGTTATCATAACTGATCAGTGCAGAGCTATGCAAAATGCTATAGAAATTATCTTTCCACAAGCTTGACATTGATGGTGCTTATGGCATATCATGAAGAAAATTCCATAGAAGTTGAAAGGATATGCTCAGTATGAAGCCATAAAGTTGGTTATGCAAAATGCAGTTTATGACTGTTTGACAAGAGTTGAATTTGAGAGTAAATGGGAAGAGATGCTTGCAACATTCAAACTTTATGATAATGAGTGGTTGGGGGTACTATATGATGAGCGGCATCAATGGGTACCTGTCTATGTTAAAGACATTTTTTAGGCAGGCATGTCAACTACACAACGAAGTGAAAGTATGAATGCATTTTTTGATGGATATGTTAACCCAAAGACTACATTGAAGCAATTTGTTGAACAATATGATAATGCCTTGAGAAGTAAGGTAGAGAAAGAGAAGAAAGCAAACTTCAAGTCTTGGCACAAATTGTTTGATTGCCTAACTATATATGATTTTGAGAAACAATTTCAGCAAGCATACACTAATACAAAATTCAAAAAAGTTCAAGGAGAGTTGAAGATATTAGTTTACTGTCAGCCGTTGTTTTTGAAAGAGAAGGGATCAATTTCTACATATAATGTCCAAGACGCAATCATGGTTTGTAAGAAGATGAAGCATGTGGACTTTGTTGTCTATTTTAATTCAACTGAATGTGAAGTTCAATGCATGTGTCGGTTGTTTGAGTATAGAGGCATTATGTGTGCTCACTCACTCACTGTGCTTGTGAGAAGGTACATAAATGAGGTGCCAAGTAAATACATTATGCCGCGTTGGAGAAAAGATTTGGATAGAGAGTACGCATACATCAAAACCACATACACTGGTTTTGGGAATGATTTTAATGCAAGTTGCTATGAGAGGATGAACAAAAAATTGATTGCCATTGTACAACTTGTTGGTAACTCTGAAGGCAAAACTAATATCATAGACCTTGGGTTGGATGAAATAAAAGAGAGAGTCATGAAAGAAGAATCCAATGATGAGAGTAATTTACCATGTTCCAGAAAAAGTACAATTCGCGCCGGTTCTACACAAGGAGCTACTAGTAGGAAGGTGATCAGTCCTTTGGTTGCTCGGCGAAGAGGCCGTCCCGTTACCAAACGAAAGGTTGCCAAAGTAGATCAAATTGTGAATCGGTTCAAGGCAACGACAAAAAAACAAACAAAAGCAAAGGTAAATTGTGTATTCAACTTTCTTTTTTTTTTACAAACTGTATTCAAGTATGTAAAAGCAATTCATAAATTTCAATCTTTAATTATTCTTGAAAAAAATATAGGCTGCTAAGTTACTTCGATTTGGAGCTCAAGCTCAAGCTAAAGCTAAAGCTACTGCATATACATTGTATTATCCTTATATGGTTGGCATGCAAAATAGTATGTATGTACTGGTACGTGTTCGAAAAAGGACTTCACATCAATTGCTTGTTTTCACAAATTTTGTTTTTCTAACATGTACTTTTAATTGAATTGTCACAGGTGGCTAATGGTATTAGAGGCACGTCTCTTACTCCATCGAACTTTATAAGTGGCACACCGGGAAGTTTGATGAGTGCTCCAACTTAGATTTATGGTTTTGTATCTCTAACCCCATCGGCTTCTAATGCATGCACACCGGGAAGTTTGTATATTACGAACATGTTTGACTAGTTTCTTGAAGTTGAACAGTTTGTTTTGAGATTGCAACTTATGTTGTTTATTAATTTGAGTTTGTAACTTTGTTTTTGAGATTGCAACTTATGTTGTCTATTAATCTGAGTTTGAAACTTTGTTTTTTAGATTGTAACTTATGTTTAGGGGTGGGCGCGGGTCGGTTGCGACTACAGAACCTCTAATCCGCCATCCGTCCGCCAAATTGGCGGATTGGGGAAAATCAATCCGCATCCGTCCGCCAATCTGGCGGATGTGGATTGAGCGGATTGGCGGTTTGGCGGATGGATGTGAATCGGTTTGGTGGTTTAAAATTTTATAAATTTTTAACATAATTCAACTTGTGCACTTCCTCAAAAAAAGAAGAAGAAAGTATTACAGTCAATGACTTAAAAAAAATATTACAATCACTGCATGTCTCATCCAAAGCAAGAAAGTTTGAAACTTTAGAATATCACAATCACTGCATGCCTCATCCACATATTACAATCACAGCATGCCTCATCCATATAAAATATTATAATCTGTGGTTCTTAAAATATAAAAACAATTCAAACCACCAAAACTATGAACAGAGCAGTAGTAGACATTGTATGTCTCTGTATTGTTATATCTATATCTGTTTTTGAAAACAAAAACCAACCAGCATATATTATATTTTCTATTTATTATTTTTAGAGATAGATTTAAAAACCAAAAAATATAGATAAATAATACGTTTATTTTTTTAATTCAAAAAAGATATTTAAGTTGAAAACTTTTTTTCAACAGAATATTTAAACTCTTTTTTAATTGAAAATAAACAGAATATTTAAACAAACTAAACACAGAGTCTTATAAATTACTAGGGTTGTTCACGGTTTGGCAGTTCGGTTACAGCCAAAAGAATCTCAAATCCGCCATCCGTCCACCAGATTGGCGGATTGGAGAAAATCAATCCACAACCGTCCGCTCGTCATCATGCATCCGTCCAAAATGTGGCGGATCGGTTCGGTTCGGTCGGTTTTGTCGGATCGGTATATCCGCTGCTTACCCCTATTTATGTTGTAACTTTGTTATTGAGATTCAGCATGTGGATTTGTAAAACATGTAGTGTATTAATTGTTAATGAAGTTATGTTATTATTATTATTTGTTATATGATGAAGATGTTGCAATATTTACTAATGTTGTATGGTAACAGATTCACTATATTGAACAAAGTGTATTTATTTAATAGTTTCTCTGTATTGAACAATGTTTATTGAACAATTTCCCTGTATTCAATCATGTGTATTCAATAGTTTCCCTGTATTTAACAATGTATATTCAATAGTTTTCCTGTATTCAATAATATATATTCAATAGTTTCCTTGTATTCAACAAAGTGTATTCAACAGTTTCCCTATATTCAACAAAAAGGTATTCAATAGTTTCCCTGTATTCAACAATAGTTACCCTGTATTCAACAATGTCTATTCAATGAGTATTGAAAAAAGTGTACAAGTTTGAACAAGTCATTTTCCATTCCACTCACTACAAAAGAGGTACAATAATTAGGTTTCAATACACAATAAAACATAACTTTCTCTAAAACATCACAGTACCGTACAAAAGTATTCACTCTACTTGAACTTGTACATTTACATCTACTACTACTTCTAACTTGCATATATGTATATATATGTTATTACATCTTCATAAGTGTTAAGACACTGATTACAAGCAACACGGACAATATATATATATATATATATATATATGTATCAACTTTTGCATCTTTGCGCTCTGAATTCGAAGTTGTTCCGTCATATCTCTTTGTTGTTTAATCATAGCTCGAAGTTGTTCGGTCATACATTGAACTTGTTCACCGATAGTTGGCACTTCTTTTCTTGGAATTTGATGACCTCTATATTCTGAATTCATAGGTAACACCATCAAACAAAACCACCACAATCATTACAAGAGTAGAATAACTTGTTTTTGTTTCGATCGGTCTTAAAAATTCGAATAGTGGCCTTTTTATTACATCTACGTCAATTTTTGTTGATGTATGTCAACCGCTCTGAGCTACTACCATTGACACTTGAACTTGACATCTGCAAAAAGGGAGAAATAACAAGTTATGAAGGTTAATAAACTATTGTAATAAGTTAATAAACTGCTACAAGTTATTCATTGGTTAATAAACTGTTGAAGTAATAAACAGTGGTAGTGCAACAATATCATATTTGATTCAATGAGCTGCTATAGCAAGTGTTGTATTTAGCCATAGAAAGACGGTAATGTGGGAGTTGATGTCTCATTTTACCAATCCATTCCTCGAAATGGTGCCAAGGCTTATGTACTAGGATTCAAGCACTTGCATTTTGTTTGTTTTACGAATAAAATCTATGTTAATTTAGGTTGCACTGGTTTGATGCTCAGATAAACCTCAAAAAATTAATTGCCAACCTCCTATATATGTTAATTTCAATCGTAAGTTACATATATGTTAACAAGGTACTATGTTAACAAGGATAATTTCAATCCACATATATGTTAACAAGGTGCTATGTTAACAAGGATAATTTCAATCCTCAAATTTCAAGAAAGAAGACTATGCCAAATAAACCTCTAAGTTAAGATATATGTTAATTTCAATCCTCTACTTTGATGCTTAGATACACCTCTAAGTTAAAATCTCAAAAATTGAAGTTGAACAGTTTGTTGCAGTTGACTACTTTTTTTATGCTCAGTTTGTTTTTCAGGCTCAGATAAACCTCTAATTTCAATCCTCTAAGTTAACATATATTGGATTGTAGAGACACCTAATTTCTACAGATATTGAATTAACCTTGTTACATATGTTTATGTATGTACAAAAAAAAAAATGTTTTGTTCATATTTGAACTTTGTTCATATTGGATTGGAGAGACACCTAACTTCTAAGTTAACATATGTTTTTGTGGTCTATGTATTCAAAAAAAAAATAAAAATAAATGAACTTTCTGCTTCTTCTTCTTCCCTCAATTCTGCTTTCTGCAGTGGTTTTCTTCTTGCAAGAGGTTCATTGTGAAGATAAACATAATTCCATAATCAAACAGGTTTTCATAATTTGGCATGATAAAACTCATCTAGCAGGTTTTCAGGTCTTCAGAATTTAAACATTTCGTGAAGGAATTTCATTGAGCAAGTTTATGGCAAGGTAAAACTCCAAATGAAAAGGCCACAATTCCCAAATCAAAAGGCCAAATTCAAGTCCCAAATCAAAAAGCCAAACTTTAATCTTTCAATGCGATTATCAGATTGTCAAAAATACTAAGTCCAAACACTCAACCCAATTGTTTATCCCAAGCCCTAATATATATATATATATATATACAATATACACAGATATATTATGTATGTAGATATAGATACAGATACATATGTATGTATTTTTTATATTCAACTCTCTTCATCTTCTTTTTTAAGTTTAAATTATTTTCTATTCATCTTCTATCTCACTCCAAAATTTCAATCAACCTCACTAATAGTTTAGAATGCTTCTACGAAATCCTTTAGAATGATTTCTAACCCAACAACCATGGTTGTGATTTCAAGATTTCCTTTGATCTGTTACCAATCAATGTCTTCTTCTACAACCCTTGTTTATGGCATTTACCATAAACATATAATTTTGATTACACTTGTATGATTTTGATTATAGATAAATATAGTTTTTTTATTTTTATTTTTATTTTTATTTATTTATTTTTTTAAATTGCGAGGATGGATAAACAAGAACAAGGGTGAGAAGAATGGCATGTAGCACGAAATTTCTTAAACTTTTTTTTTCTTTTTTGTGGACAAGATCTGTTCTATAGGATCGTACCTCTGAATCATTGAAATTTCTTAAACTTTCAAACCTACAAATAAATCCATATTAGAAGATTTGAAATGTTTTCACTTCAAGGTTGGGGTCATCAAATGGTTGTGGGTAAAAAGTCTGATATTACCTAATTCGTTCAATTTGTCTCACGATTCGTCTCAACTTGCTTGATTGTCCAGCCCGTCCTATCCCATACAAGATGATTTAGAACTTTGGACAAAGATTTAAAACTCAAGCCCGCCCATGAACCCGACCTGTACAAACCTACATAGGTATTCAAGGTTGGGGTCATCAAATGGTTGTGGGTAAAAAGTCTGATATTACCTAATTCGTCCAATTTGTCTCACGATTCGTCTCAACTTGCTTGATTGTCTAGCCCGTCCTATCCCATACAAGATGATTTAGAACTTTGGACAAAGATTTAAAACTCAAGCCCGCCCATGAACCCGGCCTGTACAAACCTACATGGGTAAATCTAGCCCGACCATCTAATCAATCCGACTTAAACTATCCCGTCTAAAATATATATTTATATATTATCTAAAAAAATAACACTATTAAATTCAATTTTAATCCATTAAAATCAATACTATTCTATTTTAAAAAAAAAATTGACAATTTATATTATCCTTGTAAATTGTATTTTTTAAAAAATACACAAAACACAATTTGTTAAAATTGAATTTGACTATGATTGATGATATCTTTCGAATTCTCAACTTTTGACATATAACATTCTCATTGTCATAATTTGTTAATTTGGTGAATTTATACTTTAATTTGATTATTTTAATAGTATTAATTAATTTGGTCATATGAATTATTAAAAAATAAATAAATGTGTAAAACTTAATAATATAAGTCTAATAAAAAATGTGTAATTCAATTCAATTTGATTTTGACCCGTAAGATTTGGACTTAAGAGTGTGACGTGATTTTAATTTTTTTAAATAAGCCAGATCCCTACTAACCCACTAATTAGTTAAAATCTATTAATATATGAGGGTACGAGTCGAGTAAATCCGACCTATTCCACTGATAATCCCTACTTTAGGGGATCAAGTATATCAAGAACTAAATCCCAA